AATTTGCCATTTTAGCTACAGAGCTTTGGTCTTTGGGTGTGTATACAGATGTTGTGACCCTTGAGTATCTTGATATGATTTAACATTGTTTGGATGGTTATCTGTGGTTAAGGCATACCAAGCAGCAAATCATATCTGTATATGGCACGTCCTGCGCAGTTGTTTGGGACCGTGTTCATTTTACTTGTATCTTGAAATCTAGGCCTTTTTCAGGCCTACAGGCTGTGCACTTTAGATGCAGTTACAGATGAACATGACCTTGCCGTATCTGATCAGTTAGCTACAGAGCTGTACTCGCTGTTTCTCTGGACTTTACTACCAATATTGAATATAAGCTTGTACACACTATAAATTACTTTTAATAAATGATGTTTTATCCAGAAGCCAGTTACCACTCTATAGGACCTCTGCTTTATTCTCCAAACCGAGCCCCATTGATAGTAATGTCTTTGGTCAGGAGTCACAGTGGGTTGTTAGAGAGGACAGTTATATTCCTTATGCAGCAAACAGCTAGCAGCACCAGCTTAATGATATCATCTACTATGGATAAGGATGGACGTGGATAACAAGGATTTGTTATGAGCTGCACAGCGTACAACTCAGATGATGAAACTACTTAAAGATCCACTCGTGCCTGCTTATAATACTGTACGCTCTGGTGTCTGTGGGATGCAAGTGATGCACAAATCATACATATTAGGACAGCATACTGACGCTGAGCTTGAATAAGAAAAACAGCTTCAGAAAGATTCAGTATACTTTACATCAGGAAGACTGCACTTTAGACTTGGACATATTCTTTGTAAATGTCTGACAAGCTTCTAATTCCATTTTGTTCACGACCTGTAAATATACATAAATATATTATGTCATCTTGAGGACCATTGGTAAAATAGTGGTGCTTTTCTACACTAAATCACAAAATAGGTAATTTCCCAGTCAGGTGTTCAAATGGCCTCAGTGCTTTCCATCTGCTTAACATTTCAGAGCCAAATAAATTCCCTCCCTTTTATTCTGTTGCGCTGGTCGTCCAAAACATTCCTGAGACCATTTCAACGTACTCTTAAACCGTAATAAAACACTGGGTCATTGAGTTTTGCACTGCATGCGTGCTATGGGGGTCAGTAGTTACATCAACCATGTGTGTCAAACAGTAAAAAACCTGGACATAAAAAAACATAAATCTTTGAGGAATTTCAAACAGTGTAGGTTTATTTTAACGATACATTAATATGTTTTAAGCCCATTCAACCATGTAATTGAAATAGACATAAGGATAAGGTTTTTCCTCAGGTAGCATCCCTTTTAGTTTGTTAATCTTACTATCTCTAGCTTTCTTCTACTTTTAGTAGTCCTCCTAGGTCAGCCTGTTCCTCACCCAAACAAATAATTGGGAAGCCAAAAGCACACTGGGACCTTTGGGATATCCGACAGTCTTATAAACAAAATCAAATGCCAACTTGTGCCTGAACTCCTTGCTGCTATTTGGTAGTCATGACGATTCATTATTTGCTTTGAAACCTACAGAGAAATGTCTTGATCCTAATCCCCTCGTGTGGCTAAAAATCTAAATTACTATTGGATTTGTGTCCATTTAAGATGGCTTTTTCTCATAATAAGCCTTAAGGGGTAAAAGCTATTGGGATTCATATTGCTGAGCACTGAAAGAAGTTAACTATAGCAGTACAGAAGTGTCCTTCCGTACCCTTCCCTGCTTCCTTTTCCTGCAACTTGTTTTAAAATCCCCCACCAGCCTTATAAATGAAAGTAAGCATCTTGTAGCTGTCTGCTCCCATTTAACGCTGCACCCCCACTGTTTCTGGATCCCTTGAAGATTTGAGCGGTCGCTTATAGCTTGAAGGTCACAGGAGTTCATGTGTAGCAGTTTATTGAGCTAACACTTTGAGAGCATATACCTTACAACCACTATTAAACTTGACATGTATGATTTATAGCTATTTATTCAATTGGTAGGTGAACTATTTTACCTTGCAAAACAGGCAAAGCAAAAACACACAAATGAACAGATTTAGGCAGTGAGATACAAACAAAAAAGTGTTAATGTAGTTTTAAGCATCCCTATAAGTCTCATTAATTGGGCTTCAGCCAGCAGGTTATGAGACAAGCATGACTCTCCGTTTGTTATACCCTGCTACAATTGGTTGGTCCCAGGAGCTCTGACCTATGGAATATTATCCTCAGACAAAAAGCCTGCTTCCCAGAAGGATTGTGTTACTTACACATCCAGACTTTGAAAAGGCTCTTGTTAACAACAGCTGTAAAGTGAGCTTGTTCTATTATATTGCTCTTTCTGGAGTTTATACTCTCCCACTTTCATTTCTGTTACTCTTACTTTCTCAATGTTCACAGGGAAGGATCTTGAATTAATTCAAATCAAAAGACTTTGAAGTTGGATACTTAGCCTCAGAGCACACTGTGCGAATGTGTGAATTTGTGTTGTTACGTTGATGGCCCCGTGGTTCCACCGAAGGACATTTGTCATTTTGTGAGCCAAGCAATGCAGTGATGCATACAAATCCTGTGTTTTTTATTTTCTTCCTATAACCAAGCACTTCTAAATATTTAGAAGGCAGTATTTTCCTGATATGTCGAACATCTCTTACTTTTTTATACTCCTTCTTAGTTTTTCTACCTTTGAATTTGATCTCAGATAAAAGTCCTTAATAATCTGTAGCAGAGAGTTACAGTGAGAATCGAGTGAGAGTCTTCGGCTGGTTAATTTCACAGAAAAAATAGTATTTCATTGCCTGATAGAGAAAAATAATTGTATTTTTTTATTCTGATACTCCATGATGTAATTCTGTGTAATTGTATGGTTTAGAAATGTGAATTTATATACAGACTGTGAACAGTGATGGCTGGAGATTAAACTGCGACAGCTGTCTCAAACTTGATTGAAACGTGTGTTCAGTAAAACCTTTATCATACACATGATCATTTTTCCCCCACAATCCATTTCTCCAATCTCCTTATAGCTACTGTATTATAAATAGGGTTCTGTCCTTTATTTGTTTCAAAGAGAAATGGGATCATCTTTAAAGGCATGAGACCCCTCAACACAATGAAGTCATATGAGGGGGTGGTGATCTAACCCAAGATGATGGGCTTTCAGCAGCTGCGGTTGTAACTGTGCCAAGACGGACAGAATAAGGACTGAAGAAGGGCGACACGTAGAGGGGGGGGAGAGACAGAAAGCTAGGATAGGGCAAGAGAAGACCTTCTATATAGAGAGAGAGAAAGGTAGAGAGTGACAGATAACGAGGGGAAAGAGAGCAACAGAAGACTGAATTAGAGGGCTGGCCAGACTCTGCCAAGCTGCCCGTCTCAGCACGGGACTCATGCCTATTTCCATCCCATCATCCCCCTCCATCTCTGTCACACTCTCTGTTCCCTCTCATGACATGCCATGTCCAAAGCTGAGTCAGTGAATGAATGATATTACCTTACGCTATGGGCCGGCCTACCCAGCCTGCCTCATCATGTGCCTCAAGCAACTGAGATGTAATTTGTCACTAAATTCTGCGTGGCTTTTATTTTCCTCCTCCCTCCATTCGTGTCTTCCTCTACCTTACGTTCTTGCATTCAAATGTTCTCTTTCTCTGTCGTTGTGTGCCGCTTTTGTATTTATCTGTATAGATTGAACAGTAGCCAAAAACACTTAAATGAGTGTTGTGGAGGTGTTATCATTTAGCATCCGAAACATGTTCTTTTTGGAAGTTATGTTACAGTTTATATTGCCACAATCACTTTTTTACACATTACTGTTAGTGTTTTTTTTACTATTCTTTTCTAAAACACTTTCACAATCAGTTTTAACGACCCAGCCTGATTCAGAAAATCACTGATTTGAGACTAGCTAACAAAGTAAGTTATACATCTAGCTGGTGCAAACTAATCTGTATATATGTTCAAGTTCCCTAACTACAGTAACTAACTAACATAGCTGCTCTAAAACATTTTTGACAGAATAAGCCGTCATAGCAATTTATAAAAATGTTTTCCTTGTTTAGCTTGACGTTTAATTTTGCCACCGCCTTCATGTCGCCATCTATCCAACTCTGGCAGGCACCTTTTGCCACCCATCACACCCTTCTGTGCCCCCATTCCTCTCTCAATCCATGTGTTCCTCCACTCCCTCTCGCTATCTGAGTAGTTCTAGCCGTCTTTCATGTCTGTTGTGTGTTTTAATGAGTTTGTTGTTGACGGTTGCTGTGCCTCCCTCTCTCTCTCTGCCGCTCGTCCTGCCTGCTGGGCTGAAGCCACAGGAGTGCCAACACAAGTCAAGCACAAACCTACACACACTCAAAAAAAATAAATCGCTTTTTTTGTGGCCATTTATAGAGCAGATAAACACAGACAAAGTTTAGTGCTTTTTTTCAATAACAGGTACAAGCAGATGTCATACACATACACAGCGACACAATCATGTGATGTAACTATACAAATGCAGATATGCCTACTGATCCACACACATAAAGACAGGCAGAAACACACACACACACACACACACACACACACACACACACACACACACACACACACACACACACACACACAGATGCATGTATGTAGAGGACAGAGGAGTTTGTTTCAATTCTGTCTCGAGGGCGGCAGCTGTGTTCTGATGTATTAATCATCTTCGTCTCCAGCTTGCTAATTAATGACCCATCTGTCCCCTCTCACTGATGTTCCACTTCAAACTCCCTCATACACAAACACACACTCGCAGGGCTGCAACACAACAACTGAATGCAAGTTCCAGTGATGAAACTCCAGTTACAGGGAAATATTCCCAGACACTGTGAGCCACTCTCTCATCTGCTTTCATGTAGAAGACCAAAAGAAGAGTGTTTGTGGCAAATTTACCAGGGAGTCGTTCTCTTCTTCAGTGGTGTTTAGATGACAGACATTGTGCGTTTGGGTTTGCCTGCGTGTGTGTTTATGTGTGCACTTATGTGGGTGTCTGTGTGTGTTTGTAGGCTTATCAAGTGAGCCCGGGCAGAGTGTCAGATGCGGTAATGGAGGCTTCAAAGACAAGTGCTGCGGTGAGTTCCCTGGTTGCCTTTTTCAAACCCTCCCCATCCTCCCCTATCCCTCCATAGAGGCACACAGGTAGATGGGTAAAGAGTGGAGGCAGGGAAGAAGATAAGCAGCAGAGAGATCAATACTTAAGTGGGTGCAAAGTCAAATACACAACATCCAGGCAGAGTAAATCAGGCAAAGAAGATATTGGGAAGCAGGGAAGCTGCCTGACAAACAGGACAGACGGACAGTCAGACAGTCAGACAATCCAGGTGCTTGCCCAGCCCCCCACCCCCACACCCTCCTCCCCCCCTTCACTTGCATGCGTAGAGCTACTTCAAACACCCGCCGCTTGTCTGCTGCTTTGTTCGCATGTTCTCTTTGCAGCTGTGGTTGTTGTTTTTGTTGTGTTGATGTTCACCGTCGTCACCGCCATCGAGGAGTTGCTTCCTTTTCAACTGCAGTTCTATTTCTGACTTACTATCTGCTCATTTCCATTTTCATCTTTTGTACTGTATATGTGTTTGAGTGCATTTATTTATGTGTGTGTGTCTTTTGTTTTGCATTTGATAAACAGACACAGTAAAGGGATAGTAATTGAGTGTTTGATCATTTAGATCACTAGGAGGTGGAGGTGTTTGTTTTTATTCTTTAGGGATCAAATGTTTTTTTTTCTGGCTTTTAAGTAAAGTATGACAAGAGCAGGCAGTTCAACTATTACATTACAGGCCATATGTTAGCTAATATGAGCATTTGTAGCTGTTAAAAAGCAATTATGGGATTGTATATGTTGTCATCTACATTTGCAGCAATTTATAGTTTATTTTTGCTTTAGGTATTGTAGGTATTAACCTGTCAGTGTAACCTGATATTTCTCAGCTTTAGAATTCATTTTAATGTATAGCTCCCTTCTCTGTATTTGCATGGATTTCATATGTTATTAAGCAACCCTCATGCCATGATCAAAAAGAAAATAACTGAACAACACAAGGCAAAATTAGTACAGAAATATTTCCCGTTGATGTCACCGAAAGCATGTCTTTGTATTAACAATGTATTTAGTATCACTGTATTTTACATAATCACTGTGTTTGGGCTAACCCCAAGATATGTGTGTATTGATAGCCTTTAATTGCTCTATATCTGTCAGATCATATTAATGCAGTATTAAAGTAACACATAGGCTTAAGCACAACCTAACAGTGCAGGACTTAAACAAATGCCTTTTGATTTTCAATAGAAATTAATAAAGTAATGAATAACAAATAATAAAACATCACATACTGGGGCATTCTGCAGCAAGATATATATATTTATAATAGAGAACAATTTAGTCTTATTTAGTTTTGGTTTGTAATGAAAAGATCACACATATATATAATTTTAGAAATTATAATAGTATCAGGCTTTTAACTGAATAATAAAACACAATCACGTTTTGGCTTCAACAACCTGTGTTGTCCTGTGGATGCACCTTCTGAACCCTGTACATGTGTTAATGTGTGGCTTTATCTCCCTGTCCCTGCTTCCTCCTCCTCCTCCTCCTCCTCCCTCCCAACAGCAAACCCTGGAGAACAACCTGACCAACCTGGTGAAGAGGAACAGCGAGCTGGAGAACCAAATGGCAAAGCTCATCCAGATCTGTCAACAGGTTGAGGTATGCAAACATCTATATGTTTGTGTGTGGAAGTTTCTAGTACGCTTAGTTATTGTGACAGTAATTTAATCCATAGCGAGATTTTTTAGGGGGTAGTTTGAGGACATGAACAAGATGAGAGATGCTTCCATACGCTGGATGGATATTTGAGCAATACTAAAATCTTAGTTTTAAATGTAAGTGGGTCACTTGGAATCACTTAGCTCCCTGCAACCCCACAAGAGCTACCCTGGATTTGATGTGCACGTTGTCAGACTTTCTGTGCTAAAGCCTTCATCCAGCACTTTGCAATGTGTCAAGCTTCAAAAACAATCACAAAACAAGCCAGGGTTTCAGTTTTATGGTAGCTGACCCGTGCCAAAAAGTTTTGAGGGTTGAGGCTTTAACCTTCTTCCCTCTCTTTTGAACAGACCAACCATAAACACCCCCAAGCCTGTCACTGTTATTGATTATATACAGTATACAGCCTTTGCTATTGGTGACTGCTCTCTTGCCACGCTCTTTACACTTTGTCTATTACTCTGGAACGTTTCTGATTGAAGAAGTACGGGGGTGGAAATGGGACTTTTTTTTTCTATCCCTCCTCCTCGATCGTGGTAGCGGTTGTGCTGGCAATACAATCAGTGCCCTATTCTTCAGTTCCCTTCACTAGCTTGCTTCTGATCAGATATTGATTTGTGTCAAGACTTAGAGTGAATTTCAGTTCTCTTTCATGGTGTCATATAAGGTCAGCATTGCAACGCTGTTTTAAAAGTGATTATAGTGAAACATTTGAAGCCATGGACTAGAGAAAACTATACCCAAGAAACATAGAAGAATAATGACCTAAATGTAATTTTAACTCTTTAATATTTTACCTATGTTTTTTGTCATTAAAAATGAACACACTCTCTGTGACCTTTTGTACTTTGCCAATGGTAGCTCTCCCAACAACTTCAAACCGTGACTCAAGAACAAAGGATGAGCTGGAGTAGCTCTCAGCAAACATCCACCCTCAAGCTGTTGACAGGGGCTGTTATGTAATTCAGACAACTTCCAACATGGGAATGACCACTTCATTGTGAAAGATACTACCGAAAGCAATATCCTCTACTTTCAAAATATAACGAATAACCGAATGTAATGCTTTTAATGTGTGTGTCTCTTCAAGGTCATACTTTCAATGTTGTTATCTATTGCTACAGTATAGGGTCTTGTTCTCTTACATCTTACTGTGCTGAATATGATTTTGTTATGAACACTCATGAACAATCCAGCTGGAGCCACTCATACAGGAAATGTAAACTCTCCATTTAAAATCAGATAAGATTATCTCTCAAATAGCACATGTCTTCCAAGAATAAAACTCTCTTTGATTTGTCACATGCTTGAAATGTTTTAAAGTGTATCACGCTTCAATTTGGTGACAACATTGGAGAATGTGTCCCTCTCAAGTCCTGGTGTGAACCCATACCTGCTGCAGAAATATTATTCCTCAGCCAGTCTGATCACTGCTGACCTCTTCCATTTGTGCTGTGTTTTAAACGAGGTGGAATGTAAATCCAGCCGGAGATTACTAATGCCTAGCTACTGAGTGTTGTCTGCACTGCAGTGCTTCCACGTGCATGGACACACACACACACACTCTCTCAAGAGCATACTTTCCGTCTTAACACACTCACTCTTAATAAATGCCATAATTTCTCTGTGAGAATTGACATTATTGGCCACAGAGGGCAAATGCACTTTGGTGCCGCCATCAGTCTGCATGTGGTTCATTTCTTATTAGCCGGGCCTGACTACATTTTCTCGAAGTCACTCCGAGGCCCATGAGCAACAACTCATGCAGCCGCTCACCCAATCAAAATGAATTGATCACTGCTTGATTTATTAAGTGCAGACAAACTGTTCATCAGCAACGCATAGAGAGAGGGAAAAAAAGTTGGTCTACATATTGTCTCAGTCTGCATACAAATGCTGCGGAAAGGCCAATAAAAACAGCAGCGTCTCATCACTTATTCATCAACAAAGGAATTAAAAGCAAAAGCATGGGGGGAAACATGCTCCAATGACTCTGAATCAAATTATGAAAAGGAACTATGTGTTTTCACGCCCTGTTTGTATCCGTACCGAGCTATTCTCCTGTGTCATGTCAATGTCATGAGGCTAGGTTAATTAAGGACGTGAGGAATGAAGGGGAAGTAATTTTTTCAGGTGAGTTCACATTAATGTGGCTCTTTAGAGAAGAGGAGAGGGGAAAAGAGGACAAATGAGGAAAGAAGATGGAGAAATGTTGAGAAAGTAGAGAAGAGGGAAATGGTAGACGGAGAAAAAAGGAAGAAAACTGCAGTGCAGGCAGGGGAAGTGGGAACGAGGAGTGTTAGCATGACATCAAATGATCTCTTTGACCAAAACAGTTACAGGCACTGCTTGGAAGAAAAAACGCTCGGCAATAATGCAATACAACAAAGACAGGGAATTTACAGCGGAAAAAGAGGAGATTTGGTGGAGTGAGGGGAGTGTGTGCACAAAGTAAGAAATCTCTGAAGGGCTTTGAGCATGACCTGGTTTCCTCTCCTCCATGTTTGCATCATATTGTATTGGTGCCAAAGATATGATCAAACACAGCGTGAGTCAGCTTTCAGAGTTTCAGTGCACACAGAAGCGATGCAGCCCTGCTCTCCTGGGGCTGTCTTCGGGGAGTTATCTTCCCTTCAGTCTCAGGAAAGATGACTTGATGATGTGTAGGAGCCGGCATCTCCCCTTGTCGCAATATTTGCTGTGGTGTGGTTAAATCTGTAACTGTGTTTAATGACATCCGTAATAATGTTCTTGAAAACATTGAGAGAATTGCATGATTCTTGAGTATTTGCTAAGACTGTTTATTCAACTTAAACGGACTCTTCTCTATTCAATGCCAGATAGCTGGCTGGATATTAATAGGCAGCAGGGAAGAGACACTCAGTGAGGCTGTTTGGCACGGAGCATTTCCCCCCAAAACCACTTTGTTATTGAATACATGTTGTTGCAATGGCCACTGTTTCTAAGTTTAGAGTCAAAGCAAAAGCTGAGATGATTCTCACAGTCTTGCAAATGTATGGCATGTTACCTGCACATGGTTTTACTTTACAAAACATTTGTTTTAAGCTGTTTTAATGGGCCAAAATATGTCTGTTAAGCTCAGCTATCCTTTTTTTGTGTGCATCTGTTGCCTTGTGTTCATTGCCTCACTGCTTATATTTAAAAGTATGTTACCCTTTTTAAGCAGAAACCTAGCAAAGTTTTAAATTAGTTTTAAAGTTGATTTGATTTTCCCCTTCTTGTTCCAATGGACATCTGGAAAGATGCACTTTTTTTGTGTGTTTCCATTGTACACTTTTAGAGCAGATTTTAATTTTCCTACTCTTTTATACTTACATTATACCTCCTTAGAGACTGGCGAACTTTGATAGTGTTGTGAAGTGCCTAATCACCTTTCTCCAATTAATTCTTATTGCATTGGGATGCTGATTTAGATATGTTTTGTCTGTCTGATAGCCAACCCAAGTTGACCGACGAGGTTCTGTTGTAGAAGTAGCTAAAATGGCCCCTAGCTGAAAGGCTAACCTGATGCTTAAATCCATCATTTACCCCAATGCAGTTTGTTTGCAAAACCGGACACTGAGACTCCAGTTAACCTCTCCAGGAGAGTTGGGAGCCACAATTGAATGTGCATTGTTGTGGACACATCCAGAACAGAAGCAGTCATTTGTTAAGCTGCGAGGTATTCAGTTGTCTGCCTGGCATACTCAGTCAGAGTTTCTGCCATGTATTGCTAGCCTGGTGGCCTGCCGTGAGTGTGTTGTTGAGTAACAATATAAGTTTAGCAGCACTGTGAACGTATCAATGCAGTGCGTGTACAGCTTCTTTCTCAGTGAATAAAAGCTATAACACAAGCTTTGTTTATTCCTACCTGCCAGCTGCTAAAGTGCAAAGGGTAAGCCCAGCAGTTGGCAAGTCCGCTTTTCGAGCATTTCAGAGCAGCAGTTAAACGTTTATTTATCCACATCTGTGCTGCAGCATGTTCTAGTCTGTCCCACTTGTTCTTACTCTTATGCCCTGTGTTAGTTGTTCAGCACATCCTCCTGAAACACAGAATGTATTGTGACGCTGCGTGTTCTTTGGCAGCTTTTTAACGAGGGCTGTCCCTAATAAGCGCACAGTGCCATACTCCAACCCAGTCTCATGGCATTTCGTGTTCACCAACACGATTTTTAATCTATTGATTCGTGTTCACCAACACGATTTTCCCCTTTTTTTCGTGTTGCACAGCACGATTTTAAAAGCAATGTATTTCTACTGGTAATGACGCTCATGGAAGCACGGCATTCGTTTGTGTCGGCTGCCCTTAAAGGCAATGTGAGCGTCCATTCTCATTGGATAACGGAGAATTGTACACCCGGAAGTAAGTATTCCCCTTACTGTCGATTGATTTTACAGTGATATCTGCACTACTCATCGACTAAAAAACACCAGATTATCCTTGTTAATTACACAACATTGATTGGTTTAAATTGTGTGCAATGCTTTTGTATTTTTCCCTTCGATTCGGAGAAACAAATATTTTTTCGGAGTAAAGGATGGCAGAAGACACTACACTACCCAGAATCCCCAGCTATCGTTTGGACTACACCATGTGCTCTGTTTGACAAACCCCGTTTTTGTTCACCATTCATTCCAATGGCTGTCACGTGATCTTCAAATTTCTCCCTGCAGAAAAAAAAAACATGGCCGAACTTCGTTTTATTCTCGGTGGAAAATGCCTATTTTAAAGTTAGTTTGGCCATTAAAATGCGTTTTGATGTCATTTGATGCGAGAAATATGAGTTGTTATTTCAGATTATGTGTGCAGTGGATATACATGATCTTTAGTTTGCTAGTTATTACGAAGATTACTTCAGGAAATTGCGTCCAGAGAACGTTTTCATTGTTACCAAGGTGGTTGCTAGGGACGCTGCTATCGATATTATTTCTGTTATGTT